TCGGCATATTCAGCAAGACTATTAAGACAGTCCACATAATCACAATCTATTGATGATGTTACTGGAATGCATGCAGATGCCGTTCTCAGCAGTGTGTTCATCACTGAGAACATAGAATGATTTACATTCAGACTGTAGTGATGCTTTGAGCAGAGTTTGGAACAACGGATTTAGATCACAAAATAAATTTCCATTGCATAAATTCGTATAAAAAATACCAAAAAAGATCCTGCGGACAGCAACCTCTTTCACAACAACCGGCTTCTGCATCACACCTATAAATACAGTATGTTTTATAATTTTGTGATTCTCTGCTTGCCTTGAAAGAAGCTCTGTTCCGGAGGCACTTTCCCTTTCCCTTTGCCCGAAAGAAACAAGTAACGATGAGCACCAGGTAGCCGGTGCGATCATTTATTTTGTGCAACTCTCGTCTGGGTCTTCAGGAATTTGAGCGTGAGACATAAATTAGCGTGGAAGCTAAATTTTAATTTCCAGAGATGAAAAACATAAGCTTCCCAAAAAAAAAATTTCAGCTTTCTACCTTTCATAATTCTCGAGCTAGAAAACCTCGACCAAAATTTCCTGTGCCCGCATGTGGAACCCGTACGTGCAGGAAGGCTGAATTTAAACTTCCAAGGTTTCACATGACAGGAAATAGACCCTTAAAATTTAAGTCTTCTATTTGCTTTGGTCAAAGACTCGAAAAATTTGTCGCTAAAACTTTCACTTTTTTGCAAATAAGAAGCAGGCATATGTGGAAGTTGAATTCAACTTTCAAATCAAAAAATTCGAATACACATATGCGCGCACGAACCTACAAAAACAAACATACACACGCATACACATACATACACAGAAACAAACACACACACACACTCGCAAAATTTATATATATACACACACGCACAGGGTATCAACAGTATGCACCGTTGTTGCAGCGCAAGAACTGGATACGAACTGCAGTGTAGCCGTAGAAGCACTTCTCGGTCAGTACCGACCTTCTTCCTCACTAGCATTGTTATCGCTTGCTTTTCGTAATTTTTTTTTCTGCATTTTTTCCCGAATTGATTTAAAAAATTTAAGATTTTAAGATTTTTTATGAACTAAATTTTGCAAGTCTCTACTTGCTGCGAATAATCGTAATGAGCATTTTCGTGCTTTTTTTGGAAAAAAAAAAGTTATGCATTGTTTCGGCATGGTAATGTTTCATTATTGATTAACTACTGGGACTAATCTGACCGCATGTTCGAAAAGACAGCTGATGTATTGAATGGACGTTCAGACTTAAGACACTGGCCAGATAACTTGTGAGCCACAAGATAGTGTCATTGAAATGGTAAAAAAAAAAAAAAAAAAAAACTAAAAACGGTTTTTCTGGTCACCAGTGTTTTGTTTTCAGCAAAGAAAAATTCCACATCAAAGACTGTCATTTTGTCTTCGAGATATGATCAGTGCGAAAGAAAGCGGCATTTCACTGTCGCAGTTGTCTTAAAGATAAGTTGGTCCTTGAGGAGTTGCAGAGCTAGGTCGCGAGCAAGAAAATGTAGCAAAATAACACAAAATGATAGAAATGCAAAAATAGAAGCTGCGGGGGTATCCAAAATTTCAAGCCCAATGTCAGAGACAAAGAAATGAATTAAATGGAATAAAATATCGAAGAAAACCTCAAAAAATTATACTTTGAAAATTATAGGTAATAAAATGAGACAGCAAAATGTTGATTTTTGCAGCCAACTTTGCAATACAAATTCCGATTTAATCGTAGCTGGTATGAATTTGCCTGGCAGAGCCAGATATGCGTGAGGGTACGTGCAAAGTGATCTTGGATTTGTACACTTAAAGAGCTTCCCCAAACTTTAGCTCATTGGTAGGTCTCCATTTTCTCTCGCTTCCTTCAAAATTTCTGTTCATAGAAAAACGATTTTTCTTTGTGTCTAAAACAGCAATCTAATTCAGTTTCTGATAGCTTCAAACTAAAGCAAATTTTAGTAACCTAAAAATTTCTTTCACAACTCTCTATAACTTGCAGAAATTTAGAGAAGCAACTGGAGAGTCTTATTTCACGAATCGTACAATTTAGATCTGTCGCAAAATTAGGCTCCGCATGGCAGGACATTGGCTTTGGAATCTGCGACAATTTATAATATCGTTCTTTGCATTTGTCGAACCCTCTGTAGTACAAGGTTTCAGGAAATTCCGAACGCTTGTGAACTCCAAAACATTCTTTACTCGTCAGCGATTTTTTGTTAAAGGCAAGATAAAAAACGAAAGGTTGAAACGACGTTTCAACACTGCCAAGTAAACATGTTTTGCGCGGAGAGGGGGCATGGTATGTGTTGTGGG